TTTTATGAATAATTTGGTAGGATTTTTTTCCCCACAGGTTTTCCTTTTTTAGACATAACCACTGTCACTATCTCATTGCAAAGTATAATAAAAACATGAGATTTTCTTTTTAATTCATATCTTCTGTTCATTATAGATACAATATTCCTCAGGCCCTTTTTTTCTGCTTTGTTTTTTTTTTTCTGGTTTTGTTTTTTGTTATTTATTTTCTTCTCAAGTATATTTTTAATTTGACTGTCCTTTATTTATCACTCTAGATTTGGGATACTCAAGTGTTTAGAAAAAGGATGTCAGAAGCAACTATATCCTTTTTAGATTATTTTCTAGCACCCAGATAGTCAGTATTAATGATGTGGAAACAAGAGTTTTTTTGTGTGAAGTATGTCTAGTGGTATACAAAGAGTCCATAAGTATTCCATAAGGTAAATATACCACCTTTTCATTATTCATTGATCAGCTGATGGGCATTTAGGTTGATTCCACATCTGTGCAGTTGTGAATTGTGCTGCAATGAGCATGCAAGTGCAGGTGTCTTTTTTTTAATATAAAAACCTCTGTTTCCTTTGGGTAGATAACTAGTAGTGGGATTGCTGGATCAAATGGTAGATCTACATTTAGTTCTTTGAGAAATCTCCATACTGATTTCCATAGAGATTGTACTAATTTACACTTCCACCAACAATGTATAATCATTCCCTTTTCATTGCGCCTGTGCCAGCACCTATCGTTTTTATTTTTTAATAATGGCCATTCTGACTGGTGTAAGATGATATCTCATTGTGGTTTTAATTTGCATTTCCTGGATGATGAGTGATGGTGAGCATTTTAAAAATATGTTTGTTGGCCATTTGTATATCTTCCTTTGAGAGGTGCTTGTTCATGTCATTTGCCCACTTTTTAATGGGTTAATTTGCTTTTTACTTGCTCATTTACTTGAATTCTTTGTTGCCTCCAGATATTAGTCCTTTGTTGAATATGCAGAAGTTAATATCTTCTCCCATTCTACAGGTTGTCTGTTTGCTCTGTGGATTATTTCTTTTGCTGTGCAGAAGCTTTTTAAATTAAGTCTCACTTATTTATTTTTGTTTGTGTTGCATTCTTCTTTGAAACTCTGGTAGAATTTGGCTGTGAGTCCATCGGGTCCTGGACTTTTTTTCTGTTGGAAGACTTTTAATTACTGTTTTCAGTCTTGCTACTCAGTACTGGTCTGTTTAGGGTTTCATGATTTTTCCTGATTCAGTGTTGGGAGTTGTATGTTTCTAAGAATTTATCCATTTCCTCTAACTTGTCTCGTTTGTGTAGAGGTGTTCATAATTATCTCAGATGATCTTTTGTATTTCCATCGTATCAGTTGTAATGTCTCCATGTTCATTTCTGGTTGAACTAATTTGAGTCTTCTCTCTTCGTGTCTTAATTAACCTAAATCTAGCTAATGGCTTATCGGTTTTATTAATCTTTTCAAAGAACCAACTTTGTGTCAGTGATCCTTTGTATTTTTTTAAAATTTCATTTCATTTAGTTCTACTGTGATCTTTGTTATTTATTTTCTTCTGCTATGTGTAAGTTTGGTTCTTGATTTTCTGGTTTCTAGTTCCTTGAGGTGCATTAGGTTGTCAATATGCTATCTTTTGGTCTTATTAATATAGGCCTTAAGCACTGTAAATTTTCCTTTGAGCACAGCTTTGGTTGTGTGCCAGAGGTTTTGATAACTTGTTTTGTTGTTGTCATTCATTTTGAGAAATTTTTAAATTTCATCTAATTTCATTATTGACCCAAGGATCATTCAGAAGCAGATTGCTTAGCTTCCATGTTTTTTGTTTGGTTTTTCAGGTTGTTCTTCGAATTAATTTCTAGTTTTATTCCACTCTGGTCTGAGAAGGTACTTGATATTATTTTAATTTTTTTGGAGCTCATTCTTAGGGATGATCTTTGGCAATGAATCTTCCTGAACTCTTTGATCTTTTTATATCTAGATGTTTAAATCTCTGACAAAGCTAGAGAAGTTTTCCTTCATTATTCCCTCAAATAGGTTTTCCAACCTGTTTTCTCTTCTTTCTCAGGAACACTTATGATTCATAGGCTTCAATGTTGTATGTAATCCCACATTTCTTGGAGACTCTGTTCCATTTTCTTGATTCTTTTTTCTTTACTGTTGTCAGATTAAGTTAATTCAAAAGCCTTATCTTCAAGTTCTGCGATTTTTTTCTTCTACTTGTATGAGTCTATTATTAAAACTTTCTACTGCATTTTGTATTTCTATAAATGATTCTTTAATTTTCAGAATTTCAGCTTGTTGGGTTTTTTTAAGTGTCTATCTCTTTGGAGAGTTTTTCATTCATGTCCTGAATTTTTTTTTTTTTGCTAGCTTTATGTTGGTTTTCAACTTACTCCTGAATCTCATTGAGCAATTTTATAATTGGCCTTTTAAGTTCTCTCTCTAGAATTTCAAAGATTTCATTTGGTTAGAGTTCATTACTAAAGAGTTAGTGCGGTCTTTTGGAGGTGCTGAAGAATTCTTTTTTTTCATATTCTCAGAATTACTTTTCTGGTTCCTTCTCATTTGGGTAGACTGTTTCTTCTTATTTGATATAGGCAGGGGGCGACATAGGCACTGTAAGTTTCCCTTGGTTATAAATAGCCTTGGTGTTGTGAGTTTCGTGATTACCAGCTGTGGTAGTCCTGTGCTGGGTGCCTGTACTGATTCACAGCATCCTGAGTGGTGGGAATGGCTTGAAAAGTGGTGTTAGCTAGAGTTCAGGATTAGTTTTCCCCAAAGCTGAGGTATTTTATCTGATGTGATGGGCTATACAGTTGACCTCTGGCTCAGGCACTCTTTGAGACAGTCAGCCGCGGTGGTGGCTATGGGCTTTCTCTTTGACATGTGTTGCTCCAAGGAAGTGCTCAGCCAACCTAGGCAGTGGGCAGAGATGTAGGTATTACCCAGGTTCTCTATCTGAGTCTTCGTGGGGGGGGATGGGGAGGAGGGAGGAAGAGCTCCAGCACCCCACCTGTGTGCACTCTTGGCTATTCTAGTGGGAATTGGGGGTGTGTCCCTGGCTTTTGGGGCAATGCTGTTGTGCCAAAGCTATACAAAAGAGTTTACCTCGGGAGTGAACAGTTGCTAGGACAAGAGTCCCACCCTGCTTCTTAGTCTCAGGCAGTCTGCATCCAGAATGTCAAAGTGTAGCTTGCCTCAGGTGTTCTCCTACCAGCTCACCCCAGGCAAGAGCTGTCTGCCACCATGGAATTTGCCCTTGGAGCCAGCCCTTCCCATCCCAGGCCAGCTAGAAAGCAGCTGCCAGAAAGGGTTAAGTTCCTGGGATATGGCAGCTGGAGCTGCTCAGGGCCTTTTTTTTTCCCCTGCAATACTCCACATAGGCTTCATCAGAGCACCGCTGTGGGTGAGGCAGCTTCCTGTGAGGGTTGGAGTCCTGCAAGGCTCCAGGGGTCCTCCAAGTCCTCAGCAGGAGCACACAATACCTGAATTATTCTCATTCATCTTCACTGTGTCCAGAGGCTGCCCATTGTCTGTGCTGTAATCCAGATGAGAGTCTGGCCAGTTACAACCCAGGGCAACTGATTTTTCTCTTTGTACTATGTGACTATTACCACTCCTTTAATACATTGTGGGGCACGCTGCCAGTCCTACTCCTCTCTAGTTACCTCTAGTCAGCCATCAGTTAAGATGATGTTTTTTGTTTTGTTTTGTTTTTTGAGTCAGAGTCTCCTTCTGTTGCCCAAACTGGAGTGCAGTGGCACACTCATGGCCACCCCAGCATTGACCTGCTGGGCTCTGGCGATCCATCCGCCTCAACCTTCCAAGTAGCTGGAACTACAGGTGCGTGCTACCACGCCTGGCTAATTTTTTTTATTTATTGTAGAGACAAGGTCTCGCCAAGTTGCTTGGGCTGGTCTCGAACCCACAGGCTCGGGCAATCTACTCACCTTGGCCTCCCAAAGTGTTGGGATTTCAGGCTGAGCCACCAAGCCTGGCCAAGATGATGGTTTTTGAAATAGGAATGACTGCTCCCTAAGTTTTGTTTAAAGTTTGATGCAGTTCATTATTTTATAATAGTTAACATTGCATCTTTTTGAGATATCAATATTATTTGATAATTATTATAAGAGTTCAGAATTTTTTAGATTGATCACAATTTTAACTAGAAATGATCATTCTTTTTTTTTTTTTTTTTTTTTTGAGTTGGAGTCTCACTCTGTCGCCCAGACTGGAGTGCAGTGGCCGCTCCCAGCCACCACAGCCTCGACCTGCTGGGCTCCAGTGATCCTTCCGCCTCAGCCTTCTGAGTAGCCGGAATCACAGGCATGCGCTACCACGCCCGGCTGATTTTTTGTAGAGATGAGGTTTCGCCAAGTTGCCCAGGCGGGTCTTGAACCCGCGGGCTCAGGCAATCCACTCACCTCCAACTCCCAACAGCGCGGGATTACAGGCTGAGCCACCGAGCCCGACGATCATTCTTTAAATTATTTTGTGTTGTGAAATTAGAACATTGCAATAATAGAAAGGTTGTAATTTGTGGTCCTTAGATATGGGAAAATAACTCACTTTTACCAACTGTTTCTCAGCAAAATTTATATACTGCTTTATGTGCTGATTTCCTGCTATCAGCAGAGGAAATCATGACAGAATAAGTTAATACTCTCTGGTAGAACCCTGTAAAAAGGACCAGTTTCTTTCTGGGTCAGCACTAGCTCTTTGCTTTCATTCAGTTGAATGACTTTTTATTATTTTCTGTGTAAGAGTCTTTTTTAAATGGAAATTCTGATGGGCTACCTTGTCCTGGTTATAGTGAAGAATATCAAAATAGCTGCTCAGAGAAAACATAAGTAGGAAAGAGAAGGTTGAAAGATGGATAGAGAAATGGGCTTCAGATTATTTCCAGTGATTTCTTTTTTTCTTAGTTTAGTCATTTTTTTAAATACTGAATTGCTGAATTTTTTTTCTTTTTTTCTTTTTTTCTTTTTTTTTTTTTGCTTTCTAGGTGATGGGAATTGCAGTGATACTAGAGGCTTAGAAATCGCTATAAAGCAACGTGTTGATGATGCACTCACTTCAAAACTTCCAATATTTTACTTGGTCAACAGACCTAATATTAGTTTAGTACCCTCTGCATTTCCCCTTCAAGTGAACTTGGAATGCAAATCCCTGAGTCTGAACTGGGCACAAGGGGATAATTCTTTGGAGATTGTGGATGGCCTAAGTGGGATGGTCACTGAAAGGTTAGAGTTACTAATTTCTTTAAAAACCATATTTTACTTAAGCAAAATAAGATGTTGTGTTGCAGGTTGTTATTCTTTTTTGGATACCATGTATTGAATTCTGAACAACAATAATAATTATTATTAGTTAAGGTGACTGTGTTGCAGGCATTGTACTAATTTTTAATTTTTTTTTTTTTCTGATGAGAAGACAGGCTTGAAGAAGTTATATAGATAACTGAAACTATGTAGTAAGGAAGGGAGCCACCATTCAAATCCAGGGAATCTGGCTTCATAACCTGTGTTTATCCAGGTTTCATTTTGGACACTTTAGTATCATATAATTAGCATTAGAATAATATGTTTTGTTTAAAAAATTTGATGTTTCCTACTGAATCTGAATTTTTGGATCTGGGGTTCAAGAATTGTATTTTTTACATGGTCTTCCAAATATGAATTACATATACTTAGTTTGAGAACCATGGATCCACATTATACTGTAAGTTGGGTGGTATTGTTCTTTCCTTTTGGAAAAAGACACTGGGATTCAAGTGATGTTAAATATCTTGTACTTAAGTGTTTTCTTTGTGAAAAAGATTCAAATTAAGACAATATTTTCTGATTATGATGTAATAAAACTATAAATAACAAACAGAATACTAGAAGCTGCTTATACTGGGAGAATAATTTCTCTGACTCCTAGCTCAAAGGAAACTATATACTACAATTGTAAAACATTTAGGAAGCAGATATATTAAAATATTACATATCAGAACTTGTAAGATATACAGTTAAAACAAAACTGAATAGAGAAGTCAAAACCTTACATGTGTATATCAGCAAATAAAGGAAATTAAGCAGAATGGTGGGATAAATAAATTAGAAATAAAAAGAGCTAAGGGGAAAAAGAGGCAGAATTGCTTATAAATAGCTGATTCTATGAAAAAACTCTAGCTAATCTCATAAAAAATAATAGATGAGAAGGAAGCAATTATTCAGAAATAGAGATAATTAAGAGAATAATAAATTACTTTGTATAACCATGCAAATGTATTTTAAAACCTAAATGAAATGGATAAATTCCTAGGAAAAGTTTGTTTCCAAAGCTGGTACAGAAGAGGGAAAGATCTAAATGTTATTTTCTTAAGAAAGTCATCAGAAAGACTCTAACTCTTCCTAAAAGGAAGTACCATTCTGAGGTAGTTCAGAGATTTTCTTTTCCTAAACCTCTAAATAGTGATCCTTCTAGTGCTATCTGATAAGATGGAACACTTCCAAATACTTTCATGAAGCAAGTGTATTCATTGATTCTTAAAAGTAATTTTTAAAAATAGCCAGGTGTAGTGGCTCACGCCTGTAATCCCAGCACTTTGGGAGGTGGAAGTGAGAGAATTGCCTGAGCCCAGGGGTTTGAGACCAGCCTGGGAAACTTGGGGATACCTTGTCTCTACAATAAATCAAAAAATTACCCTGGCATGGTGGCATGCCCCTGTGGTTCCAGCTACTTGGATGGCTGAGGTGGAAGGATCACCTGAGCCAAACAAGTCGAGGCTGTGGAGGACGTGAGCGTGGTACTGCACTCCAGCCTGGGTGACAGAGTGACACTCTGACTCAAAAAAAAAAAAAAAAGAAAAAGAAATTGCTGCTCCTTATCCCCCCACACACACAAGTTACAAACCAAACTCACTTTTATATTCAAGCAAAATTGCTAAATAAAATATCAGCAAGGAGAACTCCCTACCCGTACATTAAAATAATAATATATGAGGAGGGACCCAAAAACACCCTGGAATTTGTTTATTAAAAATTGTATATTTATTCTTTCTTACATGTTTATTAAATTTCAGTCACCTTCAAGATATTCTCTATTTGATACAGTACAGCTATAGAGACAATGTTTCCACTGCTCAAAACAGTTTTTTAACTCATCAGTTTTGATACGTTTTAGTGCTTCTGCCTTGTTTTGCTTCACCCCTTCCACATCCGCAAAATGTTTTCCTTAGAGGACTTTTGTTATCTGAGGAAACCAAAAGGTGTCACTGGGACTAGAGCAGATAACTAGGGAGGGTGGGGCACAGGGATCATATCATGTTTCATCAAAATTGCTGAAAACTCAGCACAGTGTGGGCAGATGTGCTTTTAAATCACTTGTCATGAAATAGGCAAACACACTGAAAGAACCTCTGAAAAAATTCACTGAAGCCAAACGCAACCTCTCATGACAATGCTAGCTAGTATATTGATGCCGATGGGTTTCTAGTGCCCTTACCTAGCGAGGGAAGCCTATACTACAAGGAGCTTGCCCTCCAAAAAAAATTCCAGATTTTTTTGGGTCTCCCCTCATATTTTATACAATAATACCAATTGGTATTTTTTTTCTAGTGGCACAAAGATAACAACATAGTAGAAGTAATACCAAAACTCTTACTAATATATGTCATATTAATCTAGGAAAAAATACCATATATTCTTCTTTATAAATCCTAGATGTTTAATACAGCTCTACAACTATTCTAGATAAAGATATTCAATAAAAAATGGTTAGAGATTTTTGTTACAGGATAAATGTGTCTTTTTTTTTTTTTTTTTTTTGTGAGTCAAGGTCCCATTCTGTCACCAAAGCTGGAGTGCAGTGGTATGTTCACAGCTCACCACAGCCTCCTTATGGGGTCAGGCAATGCTTCTACCTCACCCTCTCAGGTAGCTGGGACTGCATCATGCCTGGCTCATTTTTTGTTTTTTAATTTTTTTATAGAGATGAGGTCTCATTATGTTGCCTAGGCTGGTCTTGAACTCCCGAGCTCAAACAGTCTTCCCACCTTGGTTTCCCAAAGTGCTGGTGTTACAGGTATGAGCTACCGCACCCAGCCCAAATGTCTTTATTAGTTCAAAAATATTATTATGATCGATGATGAAATCTCAAAGGCATTCCCATTAACATTCAGAGCAAGACATGAGTTTACTGTTATTGCTGTTATTTAACATTTTATTGAGGACTTTAATACAATTGGATGAGAGAAAGAAATGAGAGATATAAAATATTGGAAAGGAGGAAGTACAGTTATCACTCTTTGATGGTGGTATCATTTATACCTGAAAAGCCCAAGAAAATTATCTGAAATACCACCACAACAGAAGTATCTATGTGGAAAATAGATATATAGAGATCAATCAATTTTATACACACAAGTGTACATTAGCTGCAGCTGTATAATAACTACCTAAAACTTAGTGGCTTAAAACAACAACCATTTATTATTACTTCTTGCAAGTTCTTGAGTCAGCTGAGTGGTTTTTCTGGATTTTGGGGGGGCTCCCTGTGTATCTTGGGTCAACAGTGGGTCAACTAAAGGTCGGGTTAACTGATCTTGGTCCATGTGTTCTCTTATCCTCCAGCAGGCTAGTCCCAGCAGGCTCATATGACACATGCAGGGGCCCCCAAAAAATAAGAACACAAAGTCCCTTTGGGCCTAGATTCAGAACTGTCACTGTATGTTCTATTTGCCAAAACAAATCACAAGACTAGAACAAATTCAAGGGAAGAGAAGACCAGCCCTACCTGTTGCTGTGAGGATTTGAAAAGCCACATCATAAATAGCATGGAAATCAGGAGGAATGAAGGAGTCTGGCAGTTTTTGTAAACTGTCATACAAAAAACTAATGAGAAGATATATTGGTGAGGAAAAATTACAGTAGCAAAAATGTTCATGATCTATGGACCCACTTATATTAGAAACCCTAAGTAAACATCTACATATCTATGCACATATATATAGAGAGGATTGTGAAGTGGATATATATTTATGTAATTTTTAAATTGAAGTGAAATTTAAATGTAGTGAAATACACTGTACAGTTTCATTATTTTTGACATATGCATATATCTGTGTAACCATCACCCATCAAAATGCTGGGAAGCATATTTCCATCATTTCATAAAGTACTCCCAATGCCCCCTTCCAGTTAATCCCAGATAGAACCACTATTTTAATTTGTATAGCCACAGATTCATTTTGGTTCAAATAGTAAAAATGTTTCAAGTATCAGTCTTCTGCATTAATTTTTGATATGATATTATAATAATTTAAACTGTAAGAAATTAGCCACAGAAAGTAAACATTAAGAATTCTTTTTATGTAAAAAAAAAAAAAAAATTTACTGTTCATTGCAAATAATTGGGATCAACAGATATTGTTTAGAATCTATGTTGATTTTAATTCCTACAGTTGCTAGCATAAATTATTGGGAAATGATTAGTGAATGTTTATTCCTTTTTACTTTAGCTCCCCATTTAAAAGTGGTATGTCCATGGCAAGTCGTCTTTGTAAGGCTGCAATGTTAAGTCGATTTAATCTGCTTGCCAAAGAAGCTAAAAAAGAGTTACTTGAAGCTGGTACATATCATACAGCTAAGGTAAGTTCATAAAGGAATAAAATTGGTTTTAAAAATAAAATTTAAGACAATAATGTAATTTTATGATTATGCATAGCAAAAGTTTGTTGAATAGTTCTGAATATATTACTGTGTAATAGTAAAACTAGTTTTAATGAATATACTGGAAATTGGATATGTATATAAGTAGCCACCTCAATGTGGCAGAATCTTACTTTGACAGTATTGCTTAAAACCTGCTTTGTCATACCCAGAGAAAGTAGCAATTTTTTCTGTATATGATATTAATTGTACTACCTGTAGAATGTTTTCCTCTAAAAGAATACATTATTGAAGGCATCCATATAAATTAACTTTCTTGTTTTAAAGTTATGAAAAAGCTTTAAGTTCAGTATCTGATTTGGACCTGATTTAGTAGGTAATGTAGCTAGCCTTTTTCTCTTTTAAAAAATATTTATTTTTTATGCAGACATATAATTTTTAAGTAAAACATTAGGAAAATTTTTCATAATACAGAGGAAAAATGTTACCTGTAATCCCACCTACTATTCAAATACAGTACTCTCACTCTTTTAATGTAAACATGTTCTTTCAGTTACTTCTCATATATATGTTTATGTATACATATATTTAAAAATATTAAGATATTGATACATTTTAAAATCTTTTTCTTTAAACATAATATGACATGAGCATTCTTCCATGTTACCATCATTAAATATTAAATATAAATTGTTTTTATAACCTAATTTTAATAACAATATAGTATAGTATGAAAGTCTTTTAATTTTATCAACACCTTCATACTCAAACTGTATAATCACAACCAATAAAACAGTTACATTAACTACAGGTGTGTGTATATGTAATCACATATTTTTAAGTTTAGAAGCTTGTTTAGATAATTTCTGGTTTTGGAGACAAAGAAGAATTGCAAATCTTCTTTATAAAAACAAGTATAAGGCTAGACAAAAGCCGGGCTCGGTGGCTCAGCCTGTAATCCTGCGCCTTTGGGAGGCTCAGTTGAGTTGATTGCCTGAGCCCGTGGGTTCGAGACCCACCTAGACAGCGAGACCTCATCTCTACAATAAATAAAAAAATCAGCCGGGTGTTGTAGCGCATGCCTGTAATTCTGGCTACTCGGAAGGTTGAGGCGGAAGGATCCCCAGAGCCCAGCAGGTCGAGGCTGCGGTGGCTGGGAGCGGCCACTGCACTCCAGTCTGGGCGACACAGTGAGACTCCAACTCAAAAAAAAAAAAAAAAAAAAAAGACTAGACAAAATTGTCAAAAACAGTCTTCCACAACTCTGGAAACTGACAAAAGGCAGAAGAAACATTGAAAAGTATATGTTCTTCAAAAACTGCTATTACTTTAGATATTAACAACAGGAGTTTATAGCTTTCTTCACCAAGGCTCTTTTCATTCTCGCTTCTTCCTCTCTGCTGGTTTGATTAGAAAGAACTATAGTTTTAACCCAATAAAGCTGCCACCAAAAGCAGTTTTGCTGTCCAAGGAGGTGGACTTGATTTGGAGCAAAGGATGAAAATTTGCAGTTTTGTCAGATTAAATGCCATACTTGGTAGGAAATGAATGGAGAAAACTGGTAAGTTTGCTAGCCTAAGGTTTCAGTACTAGCTGAAGGCAAGTGGTGGGCCAACCAGCAACCTAACATGGAGATTCTGAAAATCACAAACCATGAAAGGGCTGAGATAAATTCTGCATATTTCCCTGGCTGATTGGAAAGCCTGAATTCATGTGCAAGGGATACCCAAGAGAACCCAGCAAAGAGTGAAAGCCAAAAGATACTTGAGGACTGGCTGTAATATCGAATACACTCCCTTCTACACACAAATTAATTAGAAGAAGGCTGTAAAGGCTCAAAATGTTTGAGCACAGCATCTGCTGAAGTCATTTGCTCATCACCAAGCTATACAGACATAGGGTAACTGCTAGGAAGCCAGGCTAAAACATAAAAATGAGAATAAATAAACTAGGAAGAGACAACAGCAACTGCAAAACATAGGGAAGACATATTTCAAAATTTCAGTAAGCTAATGTAAATCAGTAAAACCTTAGAAAAAAACAGAATCCAGAGTTGCTACAATATACCATCTAGAAAGTCTGTTTCAACCAAATATCATGGGATATGAAAAAAATAGGAAAGTGTAACCCATACTCAGGAAAAATAGTAATTACTAGAAACTGATTCTGAGTGGGCCCAAATGTTGAATATAGCAAAGAATTCAAAACAGTTAATATAAATATGTTCAAAGTTTTAAAGGAAAATATGATACTGTGTCAATAAATAGGCAGTCTCAGTAGAGAACTAGAAGATTCAAAAAGAACTAAATGGATATTATAGGGTTGAAGAAATAAAGATGAAATTAAGAAATTCTGTAGATGGGCTCAACAGCACATATGAGATGTCAGAATAATCAGTGTTTGTAGATCAATGGAAATTACTCTGTCAGAGAACAGAATGAAAATAGGTTGAAGAAAAATGAACAGATATTCAGGAATTTGAAGAACTATTGAAAACATATCAACAGGAGTCATGGAGAGGAAAGAGAAAAGTGACAGGAAAAATATTTGAAGAAATAATGACTGAAATTCCAAAATTTGATGGAAAAGAAATTTTGAGTTGGGGTATCTTTATGTCACCCAGGCTGGCATGCAGTGGCTCAATCACAGCATACCTTAGCCTCAGCCTCCTGGGCTCAGGCAATCCTTCCACCTTAGCCTCCTGAATAGCTAGGAATACAGAAATGCACCACCACACCTGGCTCATTTTTAAAAAATTTTTTGTAGAGACAAAGCCTAGCTATGCTTTCAGGTGGGCCTCAAATTCCTGGGCTCAACAGTCCTTCTGCCTCAGCTTCTTAAAGTGCTGGGATTACAGGCATGAGCCACCGTGCCTGAACTGGTGAAAAATGTTAACAGATCCATGAAGCTTAGTGAACCCCAAGAAAGAAAAAAAAAAGATAAAAGATCCACACCTTGGTACATCATAGTCAAATTGCTTAAGACCAAAGACAAAGAAAATCTTGAAAGCAGAAAAAGAATATTTATCAAATATAATAGAACAATACATTTAAAATCTGATTTCTCATTAGCAAGAATGGAGGCCAACCCAGAATAGCCAAAAAATCCTGACAAAAAAGTTGAAAGATGCATACTTCCTAACTTCAAAGCTTATTATAAAGCTACCATAAAAGTAGGGTATACATGACAGTGTTATACTGGCATAAGGATAGATATATAGATCAGTAGAATATAATTGAGAGTCCAGAAATAAATACTGGCAAATGCTAACATTCTTAGATTGCTTTCCAAAAGCACAATGTATCAGAACAAAAAATAATTTAGACTTTATTAAAATGAAAATTTTTGCTTTTCAAAAGTAATTAAGAAAATGAAAAGACATGTCATAAGTAGGAAATATTTGCAAATCCCATGTATAATAAAGGATTTATATTCATAGTATAGAAAGAACTCTTGTAGCTCAATAATAAAAAGATGATTCACTTCTTTAAATGGGCAAAGGATATAAATAGACATTTCTCAAAAAAATAAACAAATGGCCAAAAAAGAAAAGATGCTCAGCATCATTAGTTATTAGAGAAATACAAATCAAAACCAAATGATATACCACATTTTTTTTAATGGACAATAACAAGTTTGGTAAGGATATACCACATTTTTTTTAATGGACAGTAACAAGTTTGGTAAGGATGTGATTAAATTGGAATCCTCATGTATTACTGACGAGAATGTAAATGGTGCTGCTGATCTGGAAGACAGTTTAACAGTTCCTCATAAAAATAGACATTGTTACCATTTTGAAAATATGTCTGCACAAAAACTTTTATGTGAATATTCATAGTAATAGTATTTATAATACACAAAAAGTTGAAACAGCTCAAACTGATGAATAGATAAACTAAATGGAGTATACCCGTACAATGGAATATTACTTGGCAATAAAAAGACTTAAATACTGATATATTGTACAACAAGGATAAACCTTAAAAACATACTAAGTGAATGAAGCAGGTCACAAAAGGTCAAATATTGTATGATTTCATTTGTATGAAATGTGGTATATTGATCAATGGACTACTACTATGATAAGTAAAAGAAACCATAAGGCCCCATACTGTATGGTTCCATTAAAATGAGATTCCACAGTAGGCAAATTCAGAAAATAGATTAGTGGTTTTCTGGTGGGAAATTTTTGAGGGAAGGGAATCAGGAGTTATTGCCAGTAGATACAGAGTTCCTTTCTGGGGTGATAGAAAAGTTCTAGACTTAACGACACAGTTGCATAAGTTGATAAATATACCGAAAGGTTAATTCTACATTTTAAAAGGGTGAATTTCATGAAATGTAAATTATATATTAACAAAACTGTTAGAAAAGAAACAATGGAGACTAGAAGTCAGTGCAATGACAGGTTTAAAGTGCTAAAAGAAAAATTGTGGCAACCAATATTCTATATCCAGCAAGATAATTATTCAGAAGTAAAAGGAAAATAAAAATATCCTCCAGTAAACAAAAATAAGAAAATGTGTTGTTAGCAGGAGTTCCCTATATGGGATTCCAAAAAGAAGTCCTTGAGGCTTGAAAGAAATTTACACCAGAGGATAACAAATCCATGAAGGAACAATGTATACTGAAAATGATAACTGTGTGGATAAATGAGAGCTGTGTGGGCATGAATTTGTGCATGTGTATGTTTATGTATCTTCCCTTTTTTTCATTAAAAAAGTTATTTGGGCCAGGTGCAATAGTTTGAGCCCATAATCTCAGCACTTTGGGAAGTCAAGGCAGAAAGATCACTTGAGACCAGGAGTTTGAGTCCAGTCTGAGGAACACAGTAAGACCCTGTCTCTACAGAAAATTAAAAATTAAAAAATTAGCTACTCAGGAGGCTGAGGCAGGAGGATCCCTTAAGCCCAGGAGTTTGAGGCTGTGGTGAGTTGTGATGATGCCACTGCACTCCAGCCTGGGTGACAGAGTGA